TGTGTTCTTTTCTTCCTTACGTATTTCCATCGAGTGTCCAATTTGTCCAGGTATTGGCACTAGATAGACTAACATGAAATACAAAATGCGTTTTTTTTTCGACTCACTTCATAGATATTTCAAATTAAGCGCGGCTCTTTTCGTTACCGGGGGTGCATTCCTCGCTTCTCGTTTCCTCGCGCGACGTCGCGACTCGCCCGTGCGATTTGTACGGGAAAAAGAGCCGCGGCTACGCGCACCGAGTGACTCCGCTTCGTGCGAGATATACGCGTGTACGTGCGTGCGTGCGTTTCGATTAATTTCGCGGGAGGAGTCGGCCAAAAGCGGCCGAGAGCCACCGGAGAGCTCGATCCCCCCACGAAATTGGCGGCGGGGCGCGAAGGGGGACAGGTGGACGAAGTGTGTAGAACGAGGGAAAGAGAAGGAGACCGGCTCTCTTACGGGAGAAGCGTACGATCTCCCTTCTCCTCCTCGAGCTCCCTCCACGGACGGCTCGCCATCGAAAGATGCTGCTGCTGCTGCTGCTCCTGCCCGCCGCTCTCTCACGTAGCTAACGCACATAGTTACATACATTATCGTTGCGAGCGAGCGAGCGAGCGAACGCGCGCCTCAGCCTCCCGCGGTTAGTCCGCCGGTTGGTGGTTGGTGGGTGTGCACCGGCTCGCCGGTGGGTCGCGCATACCGCGCGTGTCATCGTCGTTGCCGTCGTCGTCGTCATCGTCCTCGTCAGCGTCGGGGTATTCCGCTTACGCGTCCGATACGTACGCCGATCACGTACGCGCGCGGACGGGCAGGATAGACGCAATTCCCCTCGCGTTAGACATCGCTCACGCGTTTAAGTCTTTCGCGCGCGTAAGCCACCCCGCCGGCGGCCACGTGATTCTATTGTATTCGTTAATTGCCCGCGAGTGGTTGAGCTGAAGGACGTTCGGCGAGAAGATCGGGGCGGAGGACAGCGCGAGCAGCGAGAGAAATCGTCCCATCTGCTCCCGAAAATCCGTCACGAGAGATCCCGCAAGGACGTCGCGAAATCGCCGCCGCCGCCGCCACCACCGCCGCCGCCGCCGCCGCCGCCGTGGCCGTGGCGGTGGGGACCGATCGCGACCTCGTGAGCCGCCGACGTGGTCGCGCGACGGTTTTTCCGCAGTCGCTGCGAGTGTGGTACCACGGCAGGAGGGATCGTTCCGCCTATCTCTCTCTCTCTCTCTCTCTCTCTCTTTCTCCCTCGCCGATTTCGCGAGGTGGTGGCGAAACGGAGCTGTCGCAACGCGATTTCCCTCGTGGCGATCGCACGCCCTCCTCTTCGCCCCTCCGGGTTTTCCGCGCGTGACGACAGGGGCGGCGTCCGGAGAAAGTGAGGCTCCCGGAAATGTACACGCGAGCCACGCTGGAGTGCTTCCGTTTATGTAACCGCCGCCGACCGCCGTTCGTCGAGATACGTACGCGAGAGATCGCACGTGCGGGCATCGAAGTCTCTCTTCCCGACGATTCGACTCTCCGGCGCGCGCCGGTTCGCAGTGCGTCCGCCGTCTCTTCCTTCGACCCTTGTCCACGTCGCGGTGTGTTTTCCTCACGGAGCGGAGTGCGTACGTGTGTGCGTGCGCGCGTGTGTGTGTGTGCGAGTGTGTGCGTGCGTACCAAAGAGGATTGCCACATAGTTGCAGCGGGACGGACTTTCGACATCGGCGACGATGACTGCGACGGAAGCGAGTGTAAACCACGACGTCTCGATAACGAAACGGAGAGATCACGTGTACGGGGAAACTGTGAACAGCCTGTCTTGTGGCTTGCCGCCGTTTAAACCTGATCCACGATGTGCTCTGTGCACCTAGAAACATCCTATTTTATGTAAGCGAATCAAAACGCTTGAAAAATTTGTCGACTAAGTACGATTGTGTAGTGTACAATTTATCACCTTGCACACATTTTTTGAAACGTAATTATTGGCTACGAAATAGAATGTTTCTGGACGCACATTGCAAGATCAGACTTGAAACTTTGCTGCCACCTCTGTGCGTGTTGACGCGACGTTCTCCAGGTAGCAAGCTAATGTTTTCGTCGCCAAGAACGTTATTTTGACATTGAAGTAGGTGACAAACGTTAGCCCGATACCCGAGTCACGTCTCGGACGGATGCCCTCCCGATTCCGTTACACCGCGATCCCCGCGTTCGGCAAGCAGGGAGTCGAGCAATGTAAATTACGATGCGCGCACGATTCTTTCCCTCCACTTTCAAGTTACAAACTGGCGTTTCGACACGCCGATACAATCGCGGAGCCATCGTAGCGGAGAGGAGACCTTGAACGCACTTACCCGAGGATAAGTCGAACGTTTACGTAACGGCGTCGGCTTTAGAAAGTGCACGGGGATCCGAAAAATTATCGTTAACGCGATAACGTGAAAATAAGAGAAAGACGAGTGAGATACGAGGGACTGGTATCGAGAGACGAAATAAGAATGACAAGAGTTTTGGCTCTCTCTCTACCTGCCAGCGGACGTGGAAGAACGTTTCGCCGTGGTCTCGCGACGGTTGAAACATTGAATACAAGTATTACGAGTTAACATCGATTTCTCTCATATCCATTCGCCACTCGACGAAGGCGTCTTCTAGATTTCCTCGTTCGTATTTATGCGCATCTTGTAATATCACATTCCGCACGCACACATTTTAGTCTTATATTTTATCTCATGTTAGGTTCAGGAAAAACGAAGAGGTCCTGTGCAAAAGAGGAGGAAAGAATAAGAGTGAGAGAGGAGAGGCGCGCGCCCGCCCGCCCGCCCGGCGATTTGAATACCAAATCGCCATCTCTTGTGCAATTCCCTCTTGTCTGTCTCTCTCCTTTTTCTTCTTTCCGTATTCCGTCTCGGGTCCCTACGACCTTTCCACGTCTACCTACCTGCGTGCCCCGCGTATTTTTAGGCGTGACACGCTTTCTTTGTGCCGGTCGGCCGGACCACCGTCGCAAAAATTACTCCTCGTAAGAGAATACGCGCGGTACTGTTAAATCGGCGTTTCTCTTTTTCTTTTTACCTCTTTGCCTCTACCTTCCCCAGGCTTTCTCACGTACGTCTATCTAGCTCCCCAATTTTTTTTTATTTATCGCTGCTGTCGAGCTGGACACATTTTGCAAATTATCATCGTGATAAATTATTCTCTTCGGTAGATAGGCAGAGTATTCGAGAAAGTTGAAAAAACATTTTTAACTAGTTTCCAATTTTATCGCGGCCATCGTTATATTCATATTAATATGAATAAAGGAACTTGAGTTTTGCAGCTATATACATGTTACATATGGCGATAATAAAAAATAATATCTGATTCACCCAGCTTCTTCAGGGTTATTTGATATTCCTTCATTCTCGTTACTTTGTTACCAAGGCTAGCTTTATAATGTATGCACATATAATTCTGTAATTTAAATATTAAAGACATCAAGAGAATACCTAATGGGTTTCGCGCGACGATTTCTTTCTGGGCTTCCTTTGAAATCCCGGTTTATTCTCGAATCCCGTTTACCACGAGCGATGACACTTCGTGGCTTAAAGTAGCGAGGGTAATCCGTGCAACATTGGACAGAGCGACGAAAAGTCGCGTGAAAAAAAGAAAGATTCCTCGCTCACGTCGGAAACGTCTGCGCAGTTAGCTGTATTAAGATTTGTCATTTTAAGTATACTCGCGCGCTATTTTTAATGATTATTATACGACATAGGATAACTACTACCAGGAGAGCGGAAACTACCGTGGGAAGGAGGCTGCAAAAAGAGCGGACCAGACGAAGACAAAAAATAAAAAGAGAGGGAAGGCTCGGCGGAAGAAGAACCGAGTAACTTGGTTTAGCCTCTCCTAGGCTTTGTCTGTATGGGAGGACAGAGACATAGCCTAGAATAGGTTAGGTCAGGGCTCGTTCAACATGGATCATCCTCCGACACATGATCCGCGGCGCCGAAGGGCGGCGGCGAGGGGGGGGGGGGGGGGGAGAGAAGGATCTCCAGGGTCAAGCTCAAGGTCTGCACTCGGCTGGATCGACTCTAAAGGATGTCACGCATGCGCGCGCGTGCGCGCGCATCGGAATTTGTCGGGAATTTTAATGTATATTATTAAACGAATCGGCGTTATGTCGCTGGAACGATTTGTTATTGCGACAAGGAATAATGAGGCGAGAGCGAGCGGGCGCCGAAAATTGTCTTGTGCATCTTAAGATACGGATAATCATAAATAATATGTGTGTATATGTATGCGTACCAGGTGTGTGGTATTGTGTCGAAATATTTCCGCAGTATACCTGGAACAAGGCAAATATTTTTAATACATAGTATAGTGTAGGTAAGCAGTCCTTCGCGATCGATTATTGATCTTCGAATTACCTACTGCCGAACAAGTAGATCGCTTCTCGGTCGATAACTTAATTCCCTGCGTTAACCACTGCTATTAAGGAAATATCGCTTAATTATATTGTAATCATTGTTTGCAACAATTATAATAGAGAGAGAGGGAGGGAGGGAGGGAGGGAGGGAGGTAGAGAGGGAGAGGGAGAGGGAGAGAGAGAGAGAGAAAGAGAGAGAGAGAGAGAGTTTTAAGATTGGAATAAACTTGAATTAAGAAGCTCACACAAAGAATCGGACTTGTAAAATTAAATTAAAACTATTAACGACGCGTATACCTTCGCAAATTTTAATTTAATATAATTAAGATACAGTAAAATCACCTAAGAAATGATAGTCATATGTATGTATATCTCAACTGTTCGTTAAAATATGTAAAATATATAAAAGTGTATGAAACAAGCGCTTCGAGCTTCCTTGGATGATGTCTTACATTTTCTCAAGTTACAACATCGAATAATACTAATATAATAATAACTTTGCCCGCTGATGTCTCTAATAGAACGTCTAACTTTCCACTCGTTGCGAAGGCTTTGATCGAAATCCAGTGGGAAAGGTACGTATATCCGAGAATTCGTAGGATTAACACGGGACACGGAAAGGTATAGAAGAGGTGTCTTTCGATTCAATAAAATTCTCATTAATGCCATTCGTACATTTTGCTGCGGAACCTTATTAAATACCGTCACAACTCGCGACATTTTATTGTACGAAAATTACACGACGAGATCAATGTGTAAACGGACTCCCGGCATTCTTCGCCACGCTCAGCGTCGCGTCGCCGTCGTTTCGGCCTCGAGAAAATCGAAATGTTTCCGCGAGTACGCAGTAACACGCCGTTCGCGGAAATTCCGAACTTTCCGAAGACGTTCTCTCTACCTTTCTCGGTTCGATACCTCGCCATCAAACGATGTTGAAAGAACAGGATTTATAAAATGATTGCTATTATGTGTCTGTGGACTTGATTCTAAGAGCGTAAAAACGTGTGCGGCTCGAAAGTATATCGTGAGCAAAACGCATCGTCACTACCCCTCTCTCTGGCTTTCTCTCTCGTCATTAAAATATTATATAATATGTACTAATGTATATAATATATTAATATTATAATATTAGATATACAATATACATTAAAGTGTGTGCTTGCAATTGCTCTCGTTCAAAGCGTTGCACAAAGTATCTACTTTCTCGCAGAATATAATGATATAATTTATACAATTTATAAAAAATCATCGAGCGCTGGACTCGCTGGCGAAATTATTACTTGAAGGATTATCATAATCTCTCGCGTTCGCTCTCGGCCTTACGGACGCGCCGAGCGAAACGATAACGCTAAACGATCTAGACGCGCTAGTGGCTAACGATCTAGTGGCTATCTATACCCTTCGATCGGCATTGAAATTATACTAGAGAATTATACTACCGCTATAAGGACTATGTACAAATGAGTCAACCGACGAATAATAGAACAACTCGCATTAAACGCGGATTTCCTCTAGCAATGTAAAATAAATTAATTGCCTTCCTACGTAGTGTCGAGCGCTACGTGCAATTCTTCCCGAGACGTGTACCCTAAAAATAATGTACATCCTCTCTTGGATTAGTTCTCGAAATAAAGTGACTTGTCGCTAAGAAACCTAATAATTTTTACTTATTTAATTATTACGATAAAATATTTCGCAACAGTTTTTTTTTCACAAGCTCAGTGCAGAAAGCAATATTAGTGTTCTATGAACGTACAACGCAGCAGGCCGGAAACGATGCTATATTAATTTCAATTATGTAAATAAAGTTTGTTTTACGTCATGTAACTTTGGAAAATATACTTGTCTATGAATCGCTTTTGAACGGTACAATTTTCGTGAAGTAGACTTTTGATAAAAACTTACAATTATACGAACTTTTAAGTGAGAAAACTCGAGAGGAAAAAACAGAGTGCAAAATTAACTCTCCTATTCTATTCGTAGAAGTATTGATACACGAAATAATGATAATATATCGATAGTAAAATGTCCTTTCTGCTTACATTTGTTTAACATAATTTCTCGACACGACCGATAATGTACAATAAATATTGCTGTGTAATTTCATGTTTGTTAAAAAATAATTCTATAAATTTTGTAATCAAACTCGACAGATATAAATATATTTTACGATAACACTTTTTAAAAGACATTATCTCTCACTTGTTCATACATTGCCATACAATCTCGCGTAAAAACCTCGCCTCAAAGTGTCGCTTCTTATTTCCGTATCGTAAGGATTAAAAAACTATGCGATCAGTCGAATGTGTGACCAAACGTAAACTCTAAAGTAGAAATGATATATTGTACAATGTCTCACGCGTCATTGCCGGCTATATGTAAAAGATCTTAACTAATTAAATCCTTTTAATTTTAACAATAAGAAGCAGTCTCTCCGTGACACAGTGATTACCAACTGATCGCTAATTCCAGTCTGATTAGCGTGATATGTATACTCGGTATGTAACATCCTCGATGACAATAAATAATTACATGTAATATTAGTAGAATCGTCGAGTAATTGTAACTTAGTATTAGTAAAATGCACGTTTGACCAGATTGCACGAGTATTGCATCCCCTCTTTATCATCCAATCAGTTGATAATCTCGTTGTATAAAACAAAAATGTATATACGCTATATTTATCGGCTAAACGTAACTCGCTAAGGAAACGCAAGATAGGAAATAGTGCCTCGGCAGATCCTCTAACTCGATCAGTCTACTTTACTCGAGAGTCATCTCGCACGAGACCGTCTTTACGTATTTTTCCTACGTGTGTTTCTAGTCAATAGTCTGACTAAGGCCTACAAATCTAGAGTGTTTGCTCATAAATATGATATGTCGAGTAAAATGTGGTATATATTATATATATATAAATATATATCTACGAGTGTGACAATAGATTTGAATGTTGTAGCAGAATTAATTACGTGGAGCTGCGTGTGTGCGTGCCGGCATCGGTGTTGACTCAACATTATTGTACTTTGGCTAATTTCCAATCTGAAAAGAAGCTATTAAGAACGTCGTATGGTCCCGACGAGTTTCGTAAGCATGCTTAAATTTCGTGGTCCAAATCCCTCGTCCATATGTATTGTGATCCACGTGACTCGATATCACGCAGATTGACGTAGTCGCAATTGCCTCACCGACACAACTCGCTCCACGACCAAGTTTACGACGAATTGCGACTTCCCTAAGCAGAAACGGACGACTTCCGTTAGGATTTTCATTGAAGGAGAAAAGAAATCGTCCCCAGGAGAACCACTGGAATGTGTAATGGCATTCAAGTGTCGGTCATCGCAATGGTCTCTCTCCACTTCTCTCGACGAGACGCTCGTAAACCTCGGCCCGGATATTAATCTCTTGTGTACATATATATCGATCGTCAACAGTCTGATATGAAAAAAAAACTCACTAACCGTGATGGGACGTAAACATTTATCTTATTAAATCTGCCGACGTCCTCCCCCGTCTTGATGAACACCTCGGAGACTTCACGAGGTGCATTTTCTGAATTCTAGTAGGCGAGACGTCATCGCCATCTTCATCGTTCTCACATTCTTATTGCCCAGAAATAAGTTGCCTCTCTTTTTCCAGAGATTCTTTTGATATTCTTTCCAGCTTGCCAGTATCATCCACTGTGTGTCGTCTCAGCAATGATAAAACTTTAGCAAAGTTTCTCCAAGTGAATATTACACAGATATTACATTTTGTATATATTTACGTCAAGACGTGTGATCCTGATTCTCGTAGAAAATAACATTCTACGTTTTAATATACACATCACTAGAAAGTCAGACACACACGTTCATATATGTAATTGATTGTAAGCTTGAAGACAATTAACGTTGAAGATGATAATCTCTTTTACGCTAAGAAGCTGAATTTTCTCTATCTTGTTTCTCGCTCGAAAGTCTTCGTCTAGGAATTGAGATTTCATACGGCAGCGTTTATATGAATCATGCCCCTCTTTCTTTCTCTGCCATTTATCGAATCAGCGGCATTCTAGCGTCTAGTTAGCAGATCTAATGCATGCTAATAAATCGGTAAAAAGCGGAAGTACTGAACGATTGCTCGATTACTTTCCCTTCATAGGAATGTTTCCCGTGCATAGAGTGATCTTTTCGCACAGAAATATAAAATGATTTGTTGTATCATCACAAGCGGTCTGTATGCGATGGATATTCATGCAAAGTCTCGTGTTATTCTCCGAGAATACAGGTACCTTCCGCAAACTGTATAGGAATATATCCAGGTTTCACCACATCGTGTATCGATATTACTCCATCTATAGATTGAAAGTAAGAACAGCTATGTCTTCTATAAGCGTTGCGTCTCTGGAATAATAATTGAGATATCAAACTGCATTTGCCGATACACCTCTCTAATTAATGTTTCTTAATATATATGATATATCATTATGGATGACTGTGCATCCTCTATTAAAATTGACACGTTTCATGGCATAAGCCTTATTAAAATAGTTGCACATATGTGTGTGTCCTTTGCTCAGTATACTTGCATAACGGTTTATATATCGTCAAAGGTAAAATAGTTGAGTGATTATATTAGAGTGATTATATTGCGCACGGAAACGTCCGCTCTTCTTGAAAACCTTCCCCCTTGAATATTATTCCTGAACGTTAGTATCGCTCGCACGTAGCGTTGTCGGTCACGTTCCACGAACAACAGGATAGTGCTTCGATCCAACTTCAAGTTATTCTGCGTTAGCAAAGATCGCTAAAGTCGCCGTGAACGTTCTGTGCGCTTCAAGATATGCAAGTGCCGCCAAAGACAACAGTGCTTCATTACTTAGGATATGTAACTTTGTACAAAGTCTCAGCTTCTAAAAAATTTTCTCCTTTTGATCAATAAATTATTGACATGTCTTGAACATCAGTTTTTTTCTTTTTCGAATAAATCCTAAGAATAAGGAATAGCATGCCTCCATTATGTCTCCGACACATTCGAGATTAGTCAACATTTCGAAGAATTCATTCGTCACAGATGATAAAGTATCATATAAGTTTGTGTCGTGTGCCACAAACTTTTAGCTTTAGATATGCGTTGCTGATATTCTTTTCTACCGATGGAAAGTTTACAAAAAGACAGTATGAGTATGAGGCAATTTAAAAGTTATAATGCTAGCGATGAGTAGTGCCAGCGCAGTCAATAGTGCGGGCGCGATTAAAGGCGTATCCACTAATGTCTGATATGTTGTGGTTCCTATCAGACCCGATATTCTTATAGCTGCTGCTATGAGCCCAAAAGCGGTACACCTATAGATATTAACAAATGCTTTCTTTCAATATGACATGGACTTTCGTTGCTGTTCATATCCTCAAGGTTTTTACTTCTTTACCTTAAGTGCGTGGGGAAGCTCTCGACTGTCACCAAAGTTAACGATGTCCACCCAACGGCAAAAAGGGCTGTGAAACCACCTTCAAATACAAGAGTTGCCGAGCTGTTTTGGTGAATTAACATCAAACATGATGCAGCAATGGAAGAGAGGAAAAGCGGGAAACCTAAATGGTAAAAGACCAAGGGTCGGTTAAAGTTACACTTAAAATCCACTTGTTGTCTGTAACAAAACTTGTCAACCAACTTATCAGTTTTGGCCGCTGGAGAACGGTGAGTGCCAAACCTGCCAGCACGGCAGCGGGCACGAAAGCCAATTGAGCAACGAGATGAGCATGCAACGCCTCTTCGATATAAATGTTATAATCGAGATCGAGAGTCGGACAGGACCCGCTTAAACTCAGCTCCGTGTTATTCTCCAATTTACATCTGGTGAAAACTTGTGCGGATAAATCTGTGTCAACAAATCTGTAACAAAGTATGCACGTCCGATTACACCGATGAATATAAAAATGTTTAACATTGCACAAGCGATGTTACTTACTTTGAATATACAATAACACTGTCTCTAAAGTGGGTTTTGCTAGACTTAATGCTACTGAACTCTACCGATTGGAAGGTACAATTGTCAAAATCGACATGGCTGAATACCATTTTAGTAAATCTGTAAACAGTTGAAAATTATATTTATAGGAAAATACTTGGTCGTTTTCCACTGATTTATCTTGAAATAACGTCCGTACTTGCAGTTCGAGAATATAGAGTCTTTGTACTGACGATTTTCCCAAGAACCGGTAAACGTTGTACCATTATATTCCTCTTTAACAAAGTGTTGAGTTTCAGTTTCGTATTCCCTCGCTCGCAAAAGTTTCAGATATTCGGGACACCATATCATAAGACCGTAAAGACTGAACATAATAAAAATAGAATGAGCTTATGAAATTTCTGTTCGATAGAGATTACCTGAAAATTGACTCGAAACTTACCTGAATGAAGCAGCGGTCCAGATAATCAACAGTACCAAAGTCACGTGTAGATGAGGCGTTGCAAATAATTCCAGGAAAGAATTCCAGAACTGCGGGTAAAGAACAAATTGACTCTTGCGGTCAAGATTGTCGCGTAGCGATACCTTTCTCGAATATTTACCATTTCAATGGAATAAATTATGTCCGCCAGAACGCTAGTGTGATTGCTAGGAGACGGCGGTGCCAAGCCACGAGGTCTTTTAGTCGGAAGTTCCAGTTCAGAAAGCTGATATTGAGTACCCGTTGCGCCTTTCCGAGCGTTATTTCTCTTGTATATCCTCTGAAGCATTAAATCGCCGAGAAATATTAGGTATTAAGTATACAATTGTACCATCGTTCCACATTACACATTTTTACCTGATAGACCATCATCGCCTCCACATCTCGACCGGCCTCTATGAGATACCTTGGACTTTCCGGTAGAAAGATGAGACCGATTGTCGAGCACAACGCCGGCAGGCAACATAATAACAAGAAACGATGCCAGGCGCTGAAGTGTTCCTTATTCTCTAGGACGACCATCTCTCCCGTCGTGGGCACTACCGCCCAAGCTAAGAGCGCCGCGTAAACGCCACCGAGCGCGCACGCTGCCACGAGTATGCCCGTCCAGCGGCCCCTGCTCAACCGTGGACAGCATTCCGCGAGATACACGAATGCCAGTGGTACCGCTCCTCCCACTCTGTAATACGATAAATTAAGTAGCAAACTAAATAATAACATCTAAGTAATCCCTTTAGCTTAAAAAGGAATAACACTGAATAGCAAACCAAATAATAGCAATATTTAAGTGATCCACTTAGCTTCCATTGCTTCAAACGATACCGAGTTACGCGTATCTTAAATCTACGACGGATAAAGGAAAATTACCCGAGAGCCGAGCAAAATCTAGCTGTCATAAAAGTGCCGTAGGTGGGCATGAATGTCGCGACGCCGCTGAACAGAGCGTGCACGGACATGGCCGAGAGGAGGGACCTGCGTCTTCCCAATCTGTCGCCGAGGCCGCCCCAGAACAAGCCGCCCAGTGCGAGGCCGACGAGAGTGATGTTGCCTGGAAGAGCATTGCCGTTCAGCGTCGCGAGGCGAGTGTTCGCGCGTGGGGAAAACAAAACTCACCGAGCCATCCCTTCTCGCTGTCCTCGATGCAAAGCTCGACCTCTGCGCTCGGCAGTATGTAAGGTACGACGAAAATCTCAACGGTGTCGGCCGCTAGGCTCAAACCCGTGCAGAAAGCGGCGAGTATTTGGAAATAGCCAACGCCAGCCTGCAACATTACATTCGATCGGTTAATTTTTACACGGCGCAGGCCTAGCTTACGTGTCGCAAATTAACATTCGCGAAACGTTCGTCGGTGGAAAATGTAATGCACACGTAATTCCTCGGGTGTCGAGTCGACGGGCCACTCCTTTCGTCACACTGAATAAACAATAAATACGTGCCACGATACGTGCGCGATCTTAACGATTGTCGTTCAACGTCCGCTTACTTGTCATCTCATCGATCGACGTCGGAGCGACAGTCATTTCTCACTGGGCCGAGATTAAGGTTCACCCGCAGTGGTAAAAAAAAGGCATTAGGTGTGCATTCGTTTTCTCTTTTCCGCGGAGACGTAACCTCCGCGGCGCGACGTCAAGAAAAACGTTTACTGGGAAATCCTTGAGGTAGCCCGGTACTTCGCGCGGTACGTATTTTGCCTTAACGATCGATTCGTCCAGGACTTGGTCCATTTTCGCCGGGAGAGAGAGAGAGACGGGCTCCGATCCGCGAGGGCAGAATCTCATTCACTCCGGGCGAGAGCGAGCGACGCCATTTCGCCCAGGTTATGTTATGTTTCCGTTCCGCCCAGCGTCCCGCATATTTTTATGTCGCGGGGGCCCGCGAGTCCCGCGACTTCTCGACGCGCCGACGGGCGACGGGGCGCCAATGGGGGGGCCCGCGCTCGCCGGCAGAATCGAGCGACGATCGAGGCGCGGCGCGATCGATACTTCTCGACGACTCGAGCGATCGATATCCATCGCGTTCAAAATGATTCGCCGCCGCTGTCTCGCGATCGGCGGGGGCGATTTAGCAGTTCACTCTCGCTCCTCCGTGAGCTGGAAGGTCAAAATTGCTCGAGAGGATAAAATTCGGATGCGCAGAAGGGATCGACACGCGAAACGAAACGAATGAACGGAGTGGACCTCCTAGTTATACTATGGATACACCTCCCATACACTATACAGCACCGAAAGATCGCAGAAACATCGCATACACCTTTCACTGCAACATCGTAACATTGCATGGAGCTTGCGAAATGTTTCAGCAACGTTGTTGCAAGCTTGAAGCAACATTGAAATGTCCTCCCCCAGACGTATTACGATGTAACATTGCAGTAGTGGCACGGTGCAATGTATTTGTAATATTGATTTCCCCACACAGCACAGAAAGATTGCAGCAAGATTGCAGAAATGTTACATTGCAAGATTGCAATATTGCAGCAACGTTGCGCAACATTGCTGCAACGTTTCTGGAGGATTGCAGCAACGTTGAAATGTCCGCCCTCAGAGAGATCGCGGTGCAACATTATAGCAATGCTGCAGTGCAATATTTTTGTAATAATTTGTTGTTGTTGTACATAAGCAGAGAATTTACTAATTACATATGCATCCGGGCCTTCTTCAATACACAGCAAGCTATTGCGAAGCAACCTAAGGAGATTGTGTCGCTTCGCAATAGATGGAGATTCCGAGCAACACCGCACTGATCAAGTACTTAATAATTCGCGCATTATTGGTATCGACGAAAATAACATTATAAAATTCTCGTAATTAGAAAAAATTTTTTAATAGAAAATATAGTAATTTTTATTATTTTTGAAACATTGCTGCAATATTGTTATCGAAAGTTTGCAATTTTATATCTCTGCAAGATTGCACTGCAACCTGCAAGATTGCAACGTTTCTGCAATGTAACTGCAACCATCTGTGCTGTATGGGTCATTATACGTTATTTATATAAATATGCAGGATCTTATGATTTTAATAGGTTGTTCGGAAAGTCTGTTTTAAATTTCCTATATACATATGTATTTATAATAGATAGGAAATTTGAAACAAACTTTCCGAACAACCTAATAAATAAAATTTGCGAATATAAAGACACCCAAGAGATGTGTAAGAAAAAATTGAAACGTTTTTTCTTATCGCTCTTGGATGTCTATTATATTGTATATTCTCAAACTTCATCTATTAAAATCTGAAGTGCCCTACCGATACCATGCAGCAATATCGGCAATCACGAGACTATTAGGCTGCGTTTGGAATACATGAGATATAATATAAATTCGAAAAATCTAAATAATATTATAATACGTTACAAATATATCTTGCAAACTTTATAATATTTCTACAAGGTTACTGAAACGTTGTTGGCGAAATATTACAATTGAATGTCTCTGAGCCGTCTGTGCAATATTACATTGTAATTTGCAATGTTGCAATGTTTCTGAAAGCTTTGGTGCTATACGGGCCATCGTATACTCGTGAATAGTGTGGAGGAGAAATTGGTCGATTCGCCATTCACGGTGACGCGCTAGCCGTGCGCGGCCTTTTGACGAAAACAGTAGTTTTTTTCCGACTAATATTGAAACTTGACTGATTGCAGACTTATGACACGGGGGATCCCTGCAATAGCAGATAAAGGTTGTCCAAGTTAACACGAGCGAAACGACAAATAACAAATTACGAATGATAAATCTGCGAATCACGACCGGCGTGGTTAAGTAAAATCGAATGTCCAACGAATTGCGCACAGTGGGGCGCCAGCTCGACGCATCATTTATCCTTATTTAACATCCGACGAATGACAAGGATAAATGATGCATTACGCGTCGAGCGGAACGCACCTAGTGAGTGGGAGGGAATGGCGGTGGGGGGGCGGGGGGGGGAAGGGGAGCGATCCGTCACCTGCTTGATGGCGTCCTCGTGAAACTGCGCGAGGAGGGTCGCGTCCGCGCTGGAGTCGATGAGGTCGTGCTCCGCGGAGTCGGCCGAGGCCGAGTTGACGCCGGCCGTGGCGACGCTCGCCGGCTGCGTCGTCATCTCCTCGGTGTAGAGGCCGGACCTAGTGTTCGCCGCGCCGCGCTCCCCGCCGCCCGTTTTCGTCCCGCTGCCGCCGGAGGGTGCGAGGCCGCCCCCGCTGCCAACGAGCCACTGGCTTTCCTCCTCCGATGAGGGCATCACTGCCAGAAACCATCTGGAAGCGAGATTAACCGGATAATGAGGCAATAACCGGCGAGCGCCTCGTTAATCCCCGTCTCCTCTGACGTGGGTCCTCGCGATATAATTACATCCCTCCCCCCGCGTGTCTCGCGACATAAATGGCGATCGCGATCGCGATCGCAACCGCGTTCCGCCTCGATTACAGATACTCTCTCGCGGCGGACTGAACTTGAAAATCGCGACGGTAGAAAGGCTTTGCCCCCTTTCGGTACGTCGCGCCCCGCATTAGCGCGCAGATAAGATAAAGCGCGAGCCGAGATATACAGGTGGGAACGTTGGAGTCAATATTGACGTTTGGAGACAAAGCCGGAAGTCGGGGCCGGAGGGCGAAGTGAAAAGCGCGGCGGGCGCGCAACTATATCCCAGTTTCGCGGGAGCGAGCTGATTTTCTACGATGGAGGAGGAGCCCGGCGCGCGTTCTTTATACGGCGCGCGTCATCGTGACTTTCGCGGCTGCCTTTTTCATGGTTTTATTTGCTTTCGCGACGCCTCATTTCACCGACGCTATCGATATAATATTAAACGGTCGCTTTGCGTCGCGACGGAGCGTGAAGAACGCGCGAAGATCCTCGGTATTTTAATAATCGCGTTTTACAATCGTTATTTCGTCAGATCGAGCGTCAGTTGGCAATTTTCGCGATACCGAACGTTCCCGTACCGATGGGTAAACCGCTGGGGTGCATTGCGGTGTACAGAACTACGGCATTACTGGGCATCACCCAGTGAGAAATGATTCGTCGAAACGTTGTCGATCGACGAGTCAGTCATTCCTCGCTGGGTTACTAGGCATTACTGGGCAATTTTTGGGCATTAGTTTGGGCACTTGGTCGATTGGTAGGCATTGGTGTGCATGATTTTGGTCAGCGGTTTACCCCTCGTTCCAAGGAGAAGAAAGAAGTCAGGATGATGTCAATGTCAAATTTTGGTCCATATGGCATCAAATTGACCACAATTTGATATAAATTTGGTCAATATGACATCAAAGGAGAAGAAAAAGTCAGGATGTCAATTTGATGTCATATTGACCAAATTTATGTAAAATTTTGGTCAATGTGGCATCAAATTGACCTAAATTTGACATAAATTTGGTCAATATGACATCAAATTGACATCATCCTGACTTTTTCTTGTCCTTGGGGTCCTATACGTTTCATGTCCATTTCCACCAGCGTGGAGTTTAACGTTGATCTCGAGTCAGCCTGCACATCTTTGTTTGAATTCTTAGAACTAAAAAGTGATAACGAGTGAAACCCGAGATTAAAGCTAATCTAAATTAGCAGAAATGGGGGCATTAATAATGCTTGTAGTATGCGCCGCAGCTGTAAGGTCCGTTGTGTAGCGCACACGTGCTCGGAAAGGCGTGCGTCACGTCTCTTGTCTATAAGCGCGGTTCACTGACCAAGGTTCATTGTGTTCGCGATATTCGTCACGGCGACAAATGAAATATTCAACCCGTCCGACAACTTTATTTCGCAGCCGCGGCCGCCGATAACTCGGCATTTGCATATTTAAGGCGGCGGAAGAGAAACACGTTGCATTTACATATCGCGGCGGTAATCGGAGCTCGATGCGAGTTAACGCGCGAGAAAGATTACGCGCTTCGTAAAGAGATTTCGCGGGTCTTTTCGTAAACGATTTTAAACGCAACGTAGCGCACGTGTAGTTTCGGTAAGCGAGTTAACGCGCGAGAAAGATTACGCTACGTAAAGAGATTTCGCGTGTCTTTACGTAAGCGGTTTTAAACGCAACGTAAGACACGTGCAATTTCTTTTTACAGGCGGTTGGTGGAAAACATTGTCCTCGGCAATCCCTCGACTCGCGTTCCACGGCGGACCTACAGTCTTATGCCTGGTGTACAACGAATTGTTAGGCTGGTATTACATTTGTCGTATGACAAATTTTTTAAGCGTATTGATTGGCTGAAGGATAGTAAAATTCTTGAGTATCTAGAAACTTTCTATTCGGCGGCCAATCGACACGCTTGAAAAATTTGTCGTACGACAATTGTAATACCAGCCTAAGGCTATTACTTGCACGACAAATTTTTTTTTAAGCATGTTGATTGGCTGCGGGATAGTAAAATTCTCGAGTATCTAGAAACTTTCTATTCGGCAGCCAATCGACACGCTTGAAAAATTGTCGTACGACAATTGTAATACCAGCCTAAGGCTAATATTATATTTGTCGTACGACAAATTTTTTTTAAGCATGTTGATTGGCTGCGGGATAGTAAAATTTTCGAGTATCTAGAAACTTTCTATTCGACAGCCAATCGACACGCTTGAAAAATTTGTCGTACGACAAATGTAATTTTAGCCCAACAATAAGTCGTTAGTCAAAAGTCGGAACTGTACGTCGATCCTTTTTCTTTCTTGGCGAGGAAAAATAGACAGACATACAGTTCCGACTTCTGACTAACAACTAACATTGTAGACCGGGCCTTACCGTCGACCTTACTCGGCCGTCACAAAGTAACCGGAGCAGCTTTCGCGTGCGTTTACTTTCGTGGCTATAATTCAGCGCATTGTGTGAGCCCGCATTGAGACACACGCGGGAGGTCGCGCGTCCTACCAAGGCTGACTAATTCCCGGAATTGATGCAAGACCTGCCGGCGCGGCGCGCGTAGGTTCATTCGCGTGTCCTTACACACCGATTCATCGATCCGCATTGAGCGTTACAGTACGTGCACACAGAGTTTGATGGGAATTGCGAAACATGTAGAGACGGCTGGAGGATTTGCGAATTTGTGAGAAATAAGCAGCGAGCCCCTTCAATATCGGAGGACGCAATTAAAAGGGCACAAATTATGATAAGAAAAAAATAACGCTTGTTACAGGAGGTCCTTCATTAACGCTTCGCTGGCCGCAGGACGACGAATGCTCGCCCTTATCAGTTTTATCTCGCGAAAAGGTTGCGGTATTGCGTCAACGGTTTCCAGCTGAGGGAACAAAAAGACGCGTCACTACGTCAACCGCCAAAGTCGCGCAAAAAAGGGCATTAAAATTGTACTCCACCGTCCCCTGCGACGGCGCCGGGCCCTTTCGCGCGCGTTCGCATCGCGGCGATTCGAGCGTCCGCCGGGGATCTTCTCGCGCGGTACGCAGTTTGTAATTAGTCACATTTTGCAAAGCGCGTCGGCGCTCTGTCGCGAACGCGACCGCGCACGTAGACGATTTATCGATCCAAAACCGATTACACGGTTCCGTAGCGCGCGTAGACTCGCGTATACATTTTCCGAACACACAGGGTGAGACGAGCGCGCGGGTAACGCACAGTAGTCGAGTGTATGTATGTGTGTATGTGAGTGCCGCGCGTATACACGTGTCAACCTCCTCGCGAGCGTCAATGTCGCCGCAGCCGCCACGGCCGCGCGCGGCGATTCGCGTTTTCGCAGTCCTCTATTTTCTCGCCGTCGGTTATTTTTGAAACGCGAGACCGCGCAAAGCAGAGCGGCCGTCATCGGCAGGGGCATTAACGTTTTGTCTCTGCTCTGCCTTTAAGCCTCATCTACAATGCACTCTCCGCAGGGTTGGGAGGTAACTCGTTAAAGGCCTTCACACATAAAATTCCGTAAGGACGTAAAACGTAAGCGTAAGAAAATCAACAGATTGGATTTGCTACTGCTTGCGTTATTGCCTTACGTTCTCGACTGTGATTGGTCGATTTTCTTATGCTCACGTTTTACGTCCTTACGGAATTTTATGTGTGAAGGCCTTTACTTGCAACGAAGTTACAGTTATAGTTACTTTTTTTGGTGGTAACTTTAACTCAACTTCGTTACTTCCTCTACATCTGTAACTTAACTCGGTTACATTTGTTCGATAACTAGTAACTAATTTAATAGTTACATTAATAGTTGCTTTATATATTTTTTAAACCTCTACATATCGCACTAAGTCTAGCCTCTGGGCATAAACGCCTTTATCAACGCTGTACAATTCAGATGCAGTTGTGATATTTTTATTTTTACTGCGAACAAGTTAACTGTAAAGTAACGATTCGTTACTTTTTTAGTAACTGTAACGCTTTACTTTTCACAATTGGCGACTTGTAACTGTAACTAGTTACATTTTTAGCGAAAAAAACTGTAACTAGATACTTTTACAAAGTAACTTTCCCAACCCCGGCTTTCTGCGTCTAGAAACATTCTATTTTACACAAGCAAATCAAAGCGCTTAAACAATTTGTCAACGATGTACGATTATACGATGTGTAATATACAATTTATCAACTTGCGCGAATTTTTTAAACGTATCTATTGTCTGCAAAGCAGAGTGTTTCTAGACGCAGAGAGCACATTGTAGATTAGTCTTCCTTGCCGAAAATAATGTTTATTAAAAGTTTGTTTAAGTGTTGAGTCAATGTTTCATTTGAGTTTTAAAACATTTATCGAATTGTTTGCGAGATACAAATTTAAACATGCAGTTGTTTATGACACGTTCACGGTTACAAGTGTTCAAATTGCGTTTAATGATGTACAATGTCAAACGTTTCCACTATAGTTCTCTAAGTGTTTGTAAAATGTTATTGTCACTAAAGAAATTAACCAGGTGTTTGCCACGTACTTTGAAACGGCGTAACCATCAATGAAACTCTTCACAAACGATGCAACTATCGACAAAACTCTTCATAAATATAAATATAAACATCATCTCTCGCTTAAAAATTTTCGCCAGGGTTGTGGCAGAGAGGAAGGTCCCCTATTATGAGCAGGGTTGGGAAGTAACTCGTTACTTGTAACGAAGTTACAGTTACTGTTTTTTTTTGCGGCAACCCTAACTTAACTCCGTTACTTTCTCTCCATCCGTGACTGTAACTTAACTCAGTGACATTTTTGCGACAACTAGTAACTAATTTAAGAGCTACTTTATACACATGTTAAACCTCGACAGATTGCATTAGGCCTTGCGTTTGCGCTTAGACGCCTTTATCGACGCTTTACAATTCAAATGCAGATAACTGCAAAGTGACGCGTTACTTTTCAGAACTGGTAACTTCCCTGATAGCACAACAAGTCTCAGTTATGTTGCAGTTATGTTGCAAAGACATTGAAACGTCTTTGCAACATAACTGCAACATAACTGAGACTTATGTGCTATCAGGGTTGTAAGTGCGACTAGTTACATTTTTAGCGGAAAAACTGTAGCCAGATACTTTGGTAAAGTAGCCTTCCCAACCCTGTCCTTTGCCACGCAGAAACTGAGGGGGAGAGAAATGCGAAGCGTTTCGGAGGATCGATTGTCCATCGGCGTTTGGATTCGCGAACGAGGTTCACGCGTGAATAACAAAACTCCTCAGACTTATCTCCAGATATGTCAAGTTCGACAGAGAGAAACTTCGCTCTCGCCGCCTACTTGCCGAGGTCGCGTTTCAGCGTTGCGAGTCGGAGCGGGTCTCGGCGAGTGACGAACGACAACCCGCGGCAACCAGCTCGCCGAGAAGGTACTGGCTGCCCTCGCGTGCCAGAAATTTGTCTGTGGACGCACGATTGCACCTGCGAGCGCAATATTTTATTATTTCGCGTCGCACGATTCGAGTGTAACGAGTTACGAGGATGTTCGCCTTGGGAGGATCCAGGTGACAATTTCAATTTCGAGAGTGTCACCGAGGCTGAGAAGCGACACGTCAATTTGTTACTCGGAGCCAGCGCTGCGTGGCTTATCTCGTCCTGTCAACGAGAAACAGAGAGAGAGAGAGAGAGAGAAAAATAGCTGATGGTTAATTAATACGCGAGAGACGCCGAGGCCTCGCGCATTTGCTGGCGCGCGCGCCCGTCCGGACTCCCGCGACACGATCGCGCGCTCATTATCACTGTGTTCGGCCGTTACGCACTGTCAACGCACATACGCCGCACGTGGGGGCCAACACGACATGCATAGATAAGTGCGGGCCGACGAACACGAGCCAAGTGACGGACGCGGGCGCGTAGCGGCGGAGGGAAGCGCGATACGCGATTTATAAAGGCTTATTCTTGGACTCGATTATCGCGCGAAACCGGTCGTCGTGAGGACATGTGCATGTTTAATTGCCAATGGCTCGTTCCGTTCCGACTATAATTAACGGCGCTCATAAACAGAAAACGAGATCGGAATAAGAGAGAAAATCCGTCCGGCCTTCGCGTTCGAGCGCGTTTCACAAAGTAGCGCGGTATTTGTCACTTCGTTAGCCATTTCATGCTCGGATTATTATTTTTTTTTAACTGCACCCTCGTATTTTATACGCTGACGGTGGTCTAAAATGAGGCCGAGACGTATGTTTCCTTGTAATTAGAATAGAGGAAAGTCCCGTGTTACGAGACAGTTCCCTAATACGAGATAGCGAATTTCGGCTAAATTAATAGGCATCGTCCGTTGTTGGTTCCATCTCGAATTTATTGCCCCTGGAGCGAAATCTGTTTAGCGGGAAATTTATTGTTAGATCGCGTGATCGTTGCGAGAAAAGATTTGCGATTGAATTTGGGCGTTGAAAACCTACTACCCCATAATAGAGGACTATCCGCTGTACATTATTTTTGGCGCTAAAACCTTTGTCACGGCTCGTAGCTCCTCTTAATTTATCCGATTGCATTATTCGTCGGAGCCTAAAATACTCATTACTTTTTGTTGCTAGAGAAGTCTCCTATTACGAGACACGCTCCTAATACGAGACGGTTTCCGTAGAATTAACAGACCTTCATCTGTCGATTGCACCACGAATTTCTTGCCCTTGGAGCGAAATCTGTTTAGCGGAAAAGTCAATGCCTGTGTCCAGCAGAAGTTAGCGCTTGCTAAGCGCTTTGCGTTCATTGGATTATACTTTCAGATCTGTGCTGAAATAGAGCTATTCTTCTAGATCTATCCAATCAGCATAAAGCGCTTATTAAGCGCTAACTTCTGGAGAACACAGCCATTGTTAGATCGCGTGATTGAATTGCGATTGAATGTTGTAAGTCTGCTATCTCATATTAGAAACCTATCTCACGATCACCTTTTATCTACTTTTTGTTTTCTAAGCAGGACTCCAACATGCCGGGGAAACCACCGAATGCCAAGTGGGACTTACGCGGTCTCGTGAGGTCGTGAACGGGCTAAATCGCGACAGTGCACAGCATTAACGAGTCGAGATAACTTTACAAATGTAACGCGTAACACTTGTTACTCCCTCACTCCATTAATCAAACTCTCGCCGAGACCGGTCCACCTTCTTCGCGCGCCACGTCGCTTGTTCGGCCCCCGCGGATAGAGGAGACGGTGGAGGGGAAACAAAAAAAAAAAGGAAAAGAAAACCCGCGGTGCGATGCAGCAAATCGCGGTCCGGAGAAATAGACGCGCACGCATGTCGCCGTCGGCTGTCGGGCGCGAGCTAATATCATTAGAGCCGCTTATCACGGCGTTCTTATCGCGCCGCGCGTAAATCACCCACCTGGTTGATAGGGAGTCGCCGTGAAATACTGCACCTTCCCAATGATAACGTCAGCCGCCTCTCCGCTCGCGGGTCTCGCCGGGGTGGAGGAAATCCTGGGCGCGCCAGCTCTCGCCGTCGGTCGGCGCGACGACGAGGACTATCGACGCTCCGCGGTCCGACGATGAGAATGAAATAATAGGTGGCTGCTGTTTAATTCAGCGGCGCGTGGCGACGCGGCGCGCACCACCTCGTCGATCGTCCGTCACCGAGCGAATAATTTTACGTAACGACACCCGCCAGCGGCGATCCCGTGCGCGGGCGGACTTGGACGTCCCGTCGGGACTCGGTCTCACAATTTAATATTTACATAACGGACAACGTAGATGAGGGATATGTACGTTAAAGGAGCGAGCTCTGCCTCTCGGTACGAGTGGTATCTCCCTTCGTTGCGACGCCGACCTGCCTCAATGACCCGCCGCGTCGAACCTCCCGCGAGGCGAGCGTCACCGTCACACTCGGGCGCGTATCCCCCCGTTATAAATACACGTTATGGATACGACGGATATGAGCGAATCGACGCTCCACCTCGTCGGAGGATGCGACGCACCCGCAGGACCCGCCGGACGTCGCGCTCTCGCGTCCCGTCGCGTTTCGCGCGCCCTGTCCTTCCGTCGGGGATCGATTCTCGGCGTAGAGGCGGGAGGCGGCGCCGCGCGGAACGAGCTCGCGACGCGCTTTTCCGAATATCAAAGAGGACCTCGCGGCTGCCGTCGGAGGCGCGGATTTATCTCGCGGGATTCCTAGGTCGCGATGGCGCGCCGCGGACATGGCGGGCGTACCGCTCGCTCCCGGCGGCGGCCCGTGGAAAACGCACGACCCGGTGACATCTTCGCAGTACGAGGGAAACAACACTGCCGCCGCCGCGTACACCGCCGTCGACGCGCCGCCTGCGCCGCGTATCGATTTGCGTCGCGACGCCCGACGCGAGTAGCGCCTTCGCCCCGACCCCAGTTCCCCCTGCGAATCATCAGCCCGATAATTGCCAGCGAGATGGTGCCTAAACTCGGAGAGGCCTCCCGGAGTGATTCTCAAGTTGCTCTGTGATATTTTGCGCACTGTTGAAAAGAACGTACAATTGTATCAACACTGTTGCTTCGTGAGAAAGAATGTTTTATGTATTTGCTAGGAAGAGGTAAATGGTGCGTTTCTTGTACCTGTGTTTTAATGTATCGAGTATACAGCAGCATTGCCTAGGTCTCCCCGAGTGATTCTGAAGTTTACTCCGTGATATTTTACGCACTGTTGAAAAGAACGTACAATCGTATCAACACTGTTGCTTGGTGAGGAACAATGTTTTACGTATTTGCTAGGAAGAGGTAAATGGTGTGTTTCTTGTACCTGTGTTTTAATGTATCGAGTACACTGCAGCATTGCCTAGGCCTCCTCGAGTGATTCTGAAGTTACTCCGTGATATTTTACGCACTGTTGAAAAGAACGTACAATCGTATCAACACTGTTGCTTGGTGAGGAATGATGTTTTATGTAAATTAAATAAATTAGTAAGGCTCGTATGTGTTCAACACAAATTTCAAAGAATTTAAAGGACTCAGAGCCGTGACAGGATGGTAGTGTCTAAATATTCTATTCTAAATTTATTGCGAAAAAATATCACCTCGGCCAGGGTTTGAACCTGGACCTCCCTCTCGCTAGGCGGGCGTCTCAACCAATTCGACCACCGAGGCACATGGCAATATACAGTCTAATGTTGATTCCCAAGTGCCACCTATCATGACAGTATTCGAAATCGAGAACTGTGCGCCGACTTGATTTGTCAGTCTTTAAAACACAGTATCATCTCCACAATGTATCCCCAATATTACGTTCCCCCCCTCCCCCCGATTTAATAATTAAATTGAGAGTAAGAAACGCGTTTTCACGTCCGCGTAATTAAATAAATTAAATAAATTAGTAAGGCTCGTATGTGTTCAACACAAATTTTTTCGCAATAAATTTAGAATAGAATATTTAGACACTACCATCCTGTCACGGCTCTGAGTCCTTTAAATTCTTTAATGTTTTATGTATTTGCTAGGAAGAGGTAAATGGTGCGTTTCTTGTACCTGTTTTAATGTATCGAGTATACTGCAGCATTGCCTAGGCCTCCTCGAGTGATTCTGAAGTTACTCCGTAATATTTTACGCACTGTTGAAAAGAACGTACAATCGTATCAACACTGTTGCTTGGTGAGGAACAATGTTTTATGTATTTGCTAGGAAGAGGTAATGGTGCGTTTCTTGTACCTGTGTTTTAATGTATCGAGTATACTGCAGCACTGCCTAGTATATGTGTATAAATAAATATGAAACTGAATTATTTATTACTTTTGCTTTTACTGTCATCAGTGATTTGTATACAGCATCCAACTTGACTGTTCTTTTGACCGCACTTTGACGCCACCTTTACATCTCTTGTATTAATAAATATTTTTTTTGCCACGTTTTTCATTTTATTTCCCGTTTTTGACAATACGACCACAATTATATAGCTTTTAAATCAATGGCTTTGCGATCCGGCAACTCCAAAGCTCTCATCATCGAACGGGAGAGAATGTGAGAAACGAACTTTATTTAACGCTGAAGATGGCTCCAAGCTGGAGCCGAAACGTCCGTTTTAGGATGCGTTCGGGAGCTCACTATCAGCGCTACTTAGCGCTGAAAGCGTCATTCTATCTTTGTTGCTCATTATACGTCGAAGAAAAATAGACCGACACTTTCTAAGTAGCGCCGATAGTGAGCTCCCGAGCGCACCCTTAATGTATTGCATCCATTGTATCATGAAGCAGAAATAAACGTACTAATGAAATATTAACGCATAAATTGTATTGTGCTTTCATATCAGTATTACTTTCGTTTTTCAAACACGGAATTATTGTAGAGTACAACATTTGTAAGACATAAAAGCGCGTACACGTATGTACATATCTTTACTGACCTGCAGTAGTTATGTAACAAGGTGCATTAAAAAAAACCCCCCCGTTAAAAATTTCTGCCGTTCGATAAATTGAGCGTTCAGAAAAAAATTCGGAAAGTTGTAGGATCGTTCACTCACCGCTAGTCGTCCTAGAAAATTCCACAAGCGTATTCTATCGACGGTATTCTAAGACTACGTCAACTTATTACAGTGCTATTTATTACAAAATTGTGGAAAGAGACAATTTTTTTGTCAGGAAAAATATATTAATCTTCATCGGAGTCGTCGCTCGCCGCAGGCGCTTCCTTGTCCTCCCCTTTGGTTCGTGCGATAAGTTCCTTCGCTGGGTTAAAGGTGCCGTTAGTCTGGGTATTGCAGATAAAACATCGCGTGCTTTTCCTATATTGCTCCAAAGCGCATTTCTCGCAAAAGTAATGCTTGCACCTGAAAGTAGTCGCGGATTAGCCGTGAAAGACATATTGAAAGCGTCAACTTAAGAGTTCGGATATACTTTGACAATCATACTTGGTAACAACGGGATCTGTGAAGCCGTTCCTACAAATGAAGCATTTAAACGGCAAGTTGTCCTCGTCGCTGTCAATCTCGTACTTCTTGTCGTCCTCGTCCCCGCTGTTGTCGTATTCGCCGGTGGCGGCTTCTCTTTCCAACTGCCATCCCAATTTGTAATCCGACCGGTCGTGCAAGAACTTGCAGCTATCTGCGCGACAGAGAAGAATTTGCGTCGAGATCGGTTGGTATACATTTATGGAAAGATTAGGGTTGGAAAGTAACTCGTTACTTTTAACGAAGTTACAGTTACAGTTACTTTCTTTTAGTAACTCTAACTTAACTTCGTCACTTTTTCTCCATCTGTAACTGTAACTTAACTCAGTTACATTTTTTTCGATAACTAGTAACTAATTTAATAGTTACATTAATAGTTATTTTATATATTTTTTAAACTTCCACAGATTGCAGCAGGCCTTGCCTTTACGCACAACGCCTTTATCGACGCTTTACAATTCAAATGCAGATTTGATATTTTTATTTGCATTGCAAGGAAGTAACTGCAAAGTAACGATTCGTTACTTTTGAAGTAACTGTAACTGTAACGCGTTACTTTTCAGAATTGGTAACTTGTGACTGTAACTAGTTACATTTTTAGCGAAGAAACTGTTACTGTAACTAGATACTTTTATAAAGTAACTTTCCCAATCCTGGGAAAGGCTAATTAAAATGTAACGCCACGTGCCTCCGAAACCGCAGAAGCCAGTCTCCTTGTAATCCTTGCATATGTCAGGTTGATAGTCCCACCTGACCGTCGCTCGAAGATTAGACGGTGCCCGAATTGGTCCCTTGCGCACCATTCCGCTGGACGCGTTTCCAGCCGCGGTATCCTTCTTCTTATAGTACTGCGCGTAATTGTTCAAGCCCCTGTAAACCTTGTCGTCCTCCTTCCCCTCTAGTTCCTAATAATCGGGACAGAAAACTACGGCTGATGTTAGCTGTTTCAGTAAGTCAGTTTTAAACTCGGGGCCAGTATTCGTATTTCCATTCTTGTACTTAAGACTACCGTAGCCCAGATAGCAATGTATGTCTAAAAGGCGTCGCAAAGATATCTTTAAGACAACTTTTAGGGCAGAATAGCTGTCTTGTATTCTTAAGTCGCAAGGCGGTTATTGCGCGTTGCTTTAAATTCTTTAAAACAAGGATTTAAAACATACAACATTGTCTCAAGAGTACAAAACTTTGTCGCGCGACAAATGTAATTTAAGCCCAAGACTGTTTTAGATCTTTGTCTTAAAGTAAGGGCCCGAGCAGAATGGCTGTCTTATACTCTTAAAGACAGCCTTAAAACAGTGTTTTATGTCTGGCAACCTAAAGAGATTTATCATGTTTATACCTCGTTTATCTTCTGAGCCTTCTCGAACAGTGCCTGCGCGTCCCGGTCCTTTTCCGTTTCCGTCTCAAGAATAGCCGTCGCGCCTTGGTCGCTCGGGCCGGCTGGCAGAGCCGTTCTGTTGCTCTTATACGACACAGTCACGCCGTCGTCCTCGCTGCTGGCGTCGTTGTAACTGGCCTTCTCCTGCTGCCTCTTCACGCTTGTCTGCGGCAACGGAAAGGAATCAAGTTATGCTTTCACAAGTTCAACGCGGAGCTTTAGAAAGCCTCGTGTCCACGTTCCAAGAACTGTGTCCAAGTTCTAGTTCCAAGAAATGCGTAGCTAATCAACTTGCAGCTTTTCCATAAAAGATACAGGTTGATTGGTTGCATATTTCTTGGAACTAGAACCTGGACACAGTTCTTGAATCGTGGACACAAGGTTTAGGTCTTGTGTCCACGATCCAAGAACTGTGTCCAGGTTCTAGTTTCAAGAAATACATAGTCAATCAACCTGCAGCTATTCCATAAAAGCTGCAAGGCGATTGGCTACGCATTTCTCGGAACTAGAACTTGGACACAGTTCTTGAATCATGGACGCAAGGCTTTGAGCCTCGTGGTCCACGATCCAAGAACTGTGTCTAGGTACCAGCTCCGAGAAATGTGTGGCCAATTTTTCGCAAGAGATGCAAGTTGATCGACCACATATTTCCCGGTACCAGAACTCGGACACGGTTTTCGGCTCGGTGGGGCGCAAGGCTTGTTAACTGCGCCATTTAAATGCCCCGAGCGGAGGAGAAATGACGCGTCTCCGTCGCGGCGCAGGGGCTCGAAAACACTCACGCTTTGTACCATGGGATTGCGATCGTCCTGCTTCCTCTCCTTCTTAACCACCATGGTCTCATCCTCGCTGCTATCTACGTGGGAATCAATACAAACGCGTTTTATCCACACACGGCGTCTTTTTGCACACATAACCTAAAACTTAGATCGGGCCAGGCTTATTCGACACGGCGGACGCGCCGGGGACGGCGCGCACTCAGGTCGACGCACGTCGACGACGACTCACCATCGCCGCCGTCCGCTCCTCGTCGCTTTCTCGCGGCGCTGCCGCGGATCTTCCGCCTCTTGAACAGAAAGGTGCAGTTCTTCCTCTCCGGCTCCCGAACCGCGTCGTCCATGTTTGTCGACGCGTAAACACTGGCGAGAGCGCACGTAAACACCGTCCCACCGACTCTCTTCTCGTCCGGCCGGGGGCCTGCTGCTCTCTCTCTCTCTCTCTCTCTTTCTCTCTCTCCCCCCGCTGCTCGTGCCGGAAGGATCGACCGGCAATTTCGGACTCGACTCGCGTAAGTGAATTCACGCGCGCGCGAGAGAGAGAGACGCGTTCGCGGTGTCGCCGGATTCCGCGAGACGCGGCTGGGTTGTGTTTTTCCCCTCCCGATTCGGGGGTATTTTTAAACGTTTTGCCACACAGGTGTATTCGCTCGTCTCCTTTTTTTCCTCTCCCCGTGGCACCTCGGCGTTACGTGGCCTGCCGGGATACACAGCGTTGTTTTATTTATAGAAAACCGATCCGTTCGGCTTTGGACTAAGCGCGTCTCAAAAGTGACATTTCCGACCGTTCAGTAGACCCCCCCCCCTCCCCGTCGCTTGCAGGTCTTCCAATTCTCTCGGGGTAGCTCGAGACCAGCCGGGACGATGAGCAAGAAGAAGAACATGGCAATCGACTTCCAGGACAACATGATTCTGCTCACGCGAAAGTACTTGAAGCGTAAGATAATGTGTCCCGAGACCAAGTTCAGGCATCACGTCAACGAGCGGCTGCACGTGCTGGACTTGGTGAAGCGCACGGTCGAGGTAGGCGAGAGCAACTCCGTCTTGCTGGTCGGGCCCAGAGGCAGCGGCAAGACAACGGTACGATTCCGTCCTCCTGTGACTGTACAAACTGCCGATACACTTCTCGGTACAGAAACGACTCGTCGATCGGCGTCGACGACGACGACGAGTCGTTTCCTATAGACTGGTCCGTATTGCAATCAGAACAAATTGTGTGATTTCAGCTCGTCAGTAGCGTCCTGAAGGAGTTGTCCGCTTTAAAAAGCTTCAAGGACAACGCGCTGATAGTGAACCTTCATGGACTGGTGCACACCGACGACCGTCTGGCGCTCAAGGATCTCACGCGGCAGATGCAATTGGAAAACGCTGTTGGCGACAAGGTCTTCGGCACGTTCGCGGAAAACCTGAGCTTTCTCCTGGACTGCCTCAAGTCCGGCGACAAAAACCGCTCCAAGCCGGTCGTCTTCGTGCTCGACGAGTTCGATCTGTTCTGCGGGCATCACAATCAGACGTTGTTGTACAATTTGTTCGACGTCGCTCAGTCGGCGCAGGTAAACGCCTCGAGCTGGACGAGAAGCGCGAGAGGCCGCGCGTAGATGTTGGCGCGAGCGAATAATTTCCACTCGACTTCGTAGGTGCCGATATGCGTGATAGGGATAAGCTGCAGATTGGACGTCATGGAGCTGCTGGAGAAGAGGGTCAAGTCGAGATTCTCGCATCGCCAGATCTTTCTGTTTCCCGGCGACACGTCGTCCTCGGAGCAGCCCATGTCCGCGTTTGACGATCGTCTGGAGCTGTTTCGGGACCTCCTCAGCTTGCCCGACGACGAGAATGTGAATAAAGTCGAGCAGCAGTACGACGATTGTACAATAGATCCGCAATTCGGTTCCATGTGGAACGAGTACATTAAGAGTTTGACCGCCAACGTTACGATGGTGAATTTACTCAAGAGAATGTACCACATCGACGTGAGCGAGAGGAGCTTCAGGAATTTCCTCGCGGTAGCTGTCTCGACGTTGTCGGAGAAGCATCAGAAGCTGGAAGTGAATGACTTCGTAGAAGCGAGCAAAATCTTCTCGGAGGACGACAAATTGTTGATGCTCGAAGGATTGTCCATTTTAGAGATGTGTTTGGTACGTTTTATATACTTTATAACCGTGTCCTGAATCCAATTTCATTTGGCAGTATTTAAACCGAATTTTTACCGAGGAAGACCCGAAGCAGGGTCGAAACGTTTGCTATTGGAGAGAAAGTTTGATTCTAAATCGTGAGAACCGAGTTCCATTCATTTTGTGGCTCACATTGGCACTCTCTCTCTCTCCCCCCTTTCTACACATTTTCTTTTTGGGAGCCCTCGCAACACTTTGGTATTTCTTGGATTGGTACTTTGAGGAATGAAACTCTGTGCGGGCGTGCAAATCCGTGGTGTGATGCCCACGAAGATGCATGCGCAGTCAGGAGTCTCTCAAGTCGTTCAATTAGAAAATCGAATTCCAACAATGCAATTCTCGTTCCCAGTCACCATACGCTTCCATAACACTTTGGTATTTATTCGGTGGTGTTGTAAAATTGACATATCTCGATATATTGTCACAGATAATAGCGATGAAGCATGAGACGGAGATTTACGACGGCGAGCCATTGAATTTCGAGGCGATATACAATCGCTATATCAAGTTCGCGAATCAGAACTCCTCTATACAATCTGTCCAGAGACCGGTCATCATGAAAGCTTTCGAGCATATCAAGGTGAGAGATGCTTCTCCCATTAAAATAATTTTTCCTCACTGGGTTCTCGAAATGCGCGGATGGCTAACACGTGTGTATTCCACAGAACTTGGAGATCCTGTTGCCAGTTGGAAATACGAATACCAAGTTCGAGAAAGAGTATCAATATTACAAATTTACATTAACATCGCAGCAGGTTGTTGAGGCTGTGAAAAATTATCCTGGTCTTCCTACAGAAGTGTCTCAGTGGGCGTCGAGCAGTATATAATAACGGTATAGGTTCAAGTATCCGACCTATTGTGTTCCATAAGATTACACACTACGCGTAACTAGTAAGTTTCCCTATCACGTAGCGACGTATAGAATAAATTTAGACATAGGTATTTATATCGCTCTAGTAGAGAAGGAAATACATTTGTAATAATGTAGGAATCGATAGCGTGCTAATCTTTTAGGTGCATTTTTATATGTTAAAAGTATTAAGCATCCTCGTACTCTCTTAATTATTGATCGCCGCAGGAATCAAGTGTTGTGTGAGAAAATTTCATCTATATGTCATGCCCTCCAAAAGACGTGTGATACTCTAGTCTTACATCTCTAGAATATTGCCACATTCATACATGTATATCCAGTTAAATTTTCTAAATTTAGTTTAGAAACGATTTCTTGACGTATCGATCATTTAGAAATAGAGAGTCGAAAGAAATATCACGAAAAATGCAGTGAGATTGTAAATACTTTCAACGTGCATCAGTACAATATCTGAGAAGACAAAGGGAGAATGGTATTTTGTGAATATATATATATATATATATATAAATATATATACAGTTCCCAGGAACAGTTCCTGCCAATATACAAACGAGAGCATCGAAATAGAGCGTCTGGTGTACACATCTTCGATATATGAAAGACAACGGGGAAGATGCATAAATATTTATCGAAATATTTTATTTCCTATAATAACAAGCGTCTTATCGAGCGTCACGGACGATTAGCTAGTTCACTCGACTCGAATATCTGTGCCATTGGCTAAGCATCGTGTTAAAATTCAGTTTGTCTGTGATCCACTTATCGTGTCCATTTATCTCGGTGTCGTGTGCGCGTGCATGTGTGTCCGCGATCAATATTTGTATGTATGAATGCGTAAAAATTTAAGTACTTATTAAGAAACGTGTGTCTCTCTCGCACGTACACATACACACATACACACACACACACACACACACACACATTGTTCGAACGTATCTGAATACGACGAAATTAGGATGTGCACGTGTTTATACATTTGTAATAAATTTACACATCTGACAAAGTACCGATACGGGTCTCACTGTGGGTTCGTTTCCTTTTGATCTAATCTATCCAAGCGAACTGCGGCTTCGCTTCCGCGGTTATCGCGGAGGAGTCCGCGATCGTCCTGATCCGGGAATTCCTCGCCACCAGATTCTTCGACGACTGTCGTTTCTCAAACTTGGCGAGACCCGCCAGCTCTTTCTTTCTTTTGTGCTGAGCAAGGTATGAATCGTGACCTGCGTCAAAGGCGCGCGTTACTACGCACTTTCACAAATTACAAACAATTCTGTCTTACCAGGATTCATCCCTACGGGCGGTACGTTCCTCAGTTCCTTCTCCATGGTGAACGGCCGAAGCGCCGACATGGCACGACTCACGCCTATCTGCAAAGACAAACATATCTCGCACGAGTTAAATGTTAACGGTTCAGAAAGAAATTGAGGTAATAGAGAAATTCGTACCGACGAATGACGTATTCTGTGCTCCACGAGATCAGCTCCGAGCACTTCTTCATAGACTGACATTCTAATCGGTATTATCTTATTTATTATCTACGAAAAAGACAGGCGTTACTTACATCTTACATGTACATTTTCTGTTTAAAGAGTGAAGTCGTGATACCCATAGCAGTATGATAGAGCTGAGAAAACTCCAAACCGTCAAGCAAAGTGCTGATAAGCTTTGTACTCCTAATAGATACCAGCCGCCTCCTACGGGGAAAGAATTCACGTGATGCGGAAGAGGCAAGATACGCTAAATTATTGCGCTGTACGAACCCTTGAACAAGCCCTTCCTTCCACCTGTGGTATCGAGCGGATATGGATCATCAGCGAATAAACCGATGGCGACCACGCCCCAGATACCACTTGCGCCTATACTTAAAGGGAACGCGTACGTTTGTTATCGCGATGGCCAGATACGTTGTGAGAAACTTAAAACAATTGCACGCATCTCGGTGGAATTAACGTGAACGCACCGTGAGTGGCGGCTGCACCGACGGGATCGTCTATGTGAAGTTTGTCTAACGCTGGCATTGCGATACACGTGATAAAGCCGCCTACCATCCCGACTATCATCGCTTCCCAGCCTCTGTAGAGGAAACAGCCACCTAAGGCAACGTCGACGGTTTTGAGAATCGGTTCTGCCTTTCACACGGTTTCTGTACACGGGGGGAATTTTCTCTTAAAACTTACCCTGGACATCACGTAATCGCGCGACAACGCAGCGTCTCGAAGAATTTTATCAGTCTATTGAAATTTTACTGATAAAATGTACACTGCAACGTGGCATTTTGAAAAATTTTAAGAGAGTTTACTAGAGAGAGTAAAATGTATAGTAAAATTTCTACATTTGCAAATTATGCATCTTACTAGTAACATTTCAGAAAAGTCTCATAAAGTTGTTCAAAGTGCCGTGTTGTCCCACGATTTTCAGGGTAATTGTTAGGAGAAAATTCTCTCCGTGTACTAATTAAGCATTACCGGTAACTGCCACCAGTGCTCCAAGAACACCGTTTATCTGGCTGAGGATGTCAATCCCATTTGGATTAGTTAAACTGAATCCCAGACCGACCAAGCCGCCCCCCATGCTGGCTATCATCGTGGCAACAGCCGCACGAGCGGCGTACGCCCATCGCTCACCGGTTACCCCACCGGTGCTACCGCTGTTGAACGCCAACCAGCCCCACCTGCGATTAATAATCCCTTTTCTACTCTGCGACTTGTTGCGCTAATTATCGCGGTAATCTGCGATGATTGCTTTACCACAGCACAAACAGCCCCATAATAGCATTGACCGGTGATCCGAGCGGCAGGGGATCGATGCCGTTGTCGTATCTGCCTATTCTAGGACCGAGCATGATGGCGCAGGCCAGAGCTGTATAAATTAATGGGCACGCATTAACGGGTTTATCGCGTGAAGTTTATCAGTTTATCGCCCGGCGATGATTAATCGCGTTTGCACATCCCTGACTACCTGAAATACCGCCGACGAGGTGCACCGTGCCCGAGCCCGCGATATCAACGGCCCCCATGCGGTTCAGGAAACCGTGATCGCCCCACACCCATCCGGCTGGCAAGCAGTACACGATAGTGTTGAGAAACGAGAAGACGCAGTACGCCTTGAAGTTACATCTGGAAATGCAAAATCGCGCAATTGGCCACGTCCATCCGCGATATCAGCGCGCGGATAAATACCGTTCCGCCATTGCGCCGCTGACGATGGTCGTCGAAGTGGTGGCGAAGCTCAATTGAAATAGAAACGCGGCGCAAATGGCGCCCATGTACTCGTCGTCGACGGGAGGGTCCACGAATATACCTCCCATACCGACCAGAGGGTTGTTGGGCTTGTCCAAGCCGAAGCTGAATCCGAATCCGAACATCCAGTAAGTCAGACCGCCGAGAACAATATCGACCACGTTCTTCATCATGATATTGACCTCGTTTTTCACCGACACACACCCGGACTCCAGCATTCCGAAACCTACGGGGGTTTGTAATGGGGGATTAACGTGTACTCTCGCGCGCACAATAGTGAAGGCGCCGCGACAGTAACGGTAGTAACAGTTTGTGCCTTAATCGGCGACGGAAAGTACAACTCACTTTCATTTTCGGAAAAGTTATTCTCCGTATTACCTGTTTGCATCGTGAAAATCATGAAGGAGCTCGTGACGATCCAGTTGCTATCCTCTTGCGAAAGATTGTACATCGGACTAATATATCTCTCGACAGTAACGTTCGTGCCATTTTTCTCTAAACCCTCTAGTTCCATGACGTTCAAACTGGGCTACCTAGTCGGTAGAAGGAGTTGGACTGCCGATGGCTTCGTTCGCACACAGCGAGCGTGCTCGGGACAAACAAATAAAAAATTTAGGTTGCGCGAGCAAAACAAGTCTGGCACTGGTATTGATAGCGACGTCAGGACTTCTGTCAGCAACCGATCAAGCGGATTCTATTAAAAGCCAACTATGAATCGAGAGAAAAGTAATTACAAAAGAACATAGAAAATGCCAGGTGTTTTCAACTTTTTTTTATTGGCCTTACATTTTCTAGATATTACAGAAAATTTTTCTCACTTACATATATCCAACAATTTTTCTTCGTCCTTTTATCAATTAAATAACGTCAAAATCATATGTAACATTAATCTAATGTGGAAAATGATATCACGCATAGAATTCCTGTCGTCTATAATCACACTTCGAATTTATAATGGTATGATTACTAATTTCAGAGAACATTATGATTATAATGTGCGGTGAAACGTAACTCGTGAAAATATTAATGATATTTGGCAATACAAAGACTTTTTTTTCGGTTTTTCCTCTTTTGTTCTTTTTTTTTGGAGTGGCCAGGCTATAGACATTACATGATCATCCTTCTGCACAAAGTTAGTTGTTCTTACAACGTACGGTGAACTAAAGTTCTCTTAGGTGGCAAAGAAAGAATGGAATCGACAAGCATTTATCATCCAAGGGTATATAACTGTGCAGCTGTTTTTTTTTTCGAAGGAGGCAAATGTGCAGCATCTTGACATAAAATTTCACACAAAGTATATCGATAGATGTAATTTTGTATGCTCGTTTTTTTTTTTCGAAAGCACCTATGAGCACTACGTCGGTAAATGGGTAGGATTTTGGTTGCTGAATCCCTTGCTGTCACGGAAACTCAATCATCCCACGGGGTTTTAGTGGCCGTATACATTTTCATCGCTATACGCTATATATAGGAAGAAATCCTCTTCGTGATGTTCCTGTGGACAAACGTTGACAAGATTAGAGCGTTCGCTGGACGAAACCGGAAGCATCTTCACTCGCTTTACTGTAAGGCTGATGGCAGAGAACGATCCGTAACGGCTCAAGACTGTCTTAGTCGTAGACGTAAGGCAAGGCAGAGAAAAACTCGAGTAGTGAAGGTCTCTTGTATAAGACCTGAGTTTTTCTCGGGCTTGCCTTACGTCTACGACTAACAATTAATAAGACAGCCTTAAGCCGTTACGGATCGTTCTCTGCCATCAGCCCAAGACTGTCCCGAGTCGTAGACGCAAAGCAGGGCAGAGAAAGACTCGAGTCGTGAAAGTCTCTTGTGCAAGATTTGAGTTTCTCTCCGCCTTGCCTTACGTCTACGACTTGAGACGGTCCGAAGCACTTGCGGATTCTCTGCCATCAAGCCCGGTCTACGATGAGTTGTTAGTCGTAGGTCACAAGTCAGAACCGTACGTCGGTTTCACCCGGAAAGGAAATGGATTTACATGTAGTTCCGACCTCTGACCAACGACTTGCTGCAGACCAGGCCTAGCAATTCATTCTAATTACCGCGTAAAGGGAACCCATGGTGGCGCTTGTCGGAGGAATGATATTGTTGACGAAGAAGAACAGGGCATCCTCGGGACGCAGATGAATCCTCTTGCGAATTAAAAAGTAAAACTGCCCGACGGTCAAGTCAGAGGGCACCAAGTACTTTTGCTTATCCAGATCACTGATCTTCGCCTTAGGCGCCTTCTCCACTATTACCTGCAACAACACATTACGTTATTCACATTCGTTATTCTCACGCATTTCTCTCTCTCTCTCTCTCTCTCTCTCTCTCTCTCTCTCTCTCTTTTTAATACACAAGGCTGCGACGTCTCGATTAGTCGCCGCGAACGCACGGAGCAAATCAATCTCGGCGCATCCGCGTGACATTGTTCGCGCGGACAATGAGATTTCAACCTCCGCTAGCGAAAGCATTAAAGAAGGTTTAAACCTTTGGCTCGCTGTCCGGACGAGCTTTGGAGCACACTTAGCGCCGTGAGAGAATCTGAAACGCGTCCAACTGTTGAATAACAGGACTCGGACGCGAAGTCCTGTAATTGAACCCGGCGGACGAGTGCGCGTTGCGAAACGGTAGGTAATCTCGCGATACGATAATTTCGCGCGAAACTGCCGTCATGTGATCGGTGACTCACACAGCCGCGAAGTAAACACGATCGTTCCTACCTTTTGACGATCATCGATACCGAAAGTAATCGCGCGATCAGTTACGAGTCGGGGTACATTTCGGAGTTTAGATCTTCAATATCGATTAAAAGAGATTAGCCGTACATGTACAGCGGAAATTAATCGCACGAAGGTGGAGTGGCCGCTCCAGGTCAAGTCTGTTTCCAAATATTTACGCGTCTTTCTTTCTCCCGATCGAAACGACTACGATTTCTATCAGCGGAAAGATCCCCCCCCCCCCCCCGTTGAATCCGAGAGAAAAATATATTTAGAAGAACACAATTAACTTTGACCAGCGGAGCGTAATCGATTTGCGAGCTCTTACTTTTATCTGTCGACTTTTATTTCACGTTCAAATCCACCCGAGGGGGAAACCGCTGAGGGTATTGTGGCGTACAAAATTGCTAGGTATTTTTTGGGCATTAGGCCTTGCCGGGGCATTAAAGATAAAATAAGATACAATGAGATGAAACAAGATAAATAAGGTAACGTAAGATAATAAGGTAAAGTAATGTCCATTGACAAAAAAATCATTTTCACTAAATAAATAGATTTGCCAAAAATTCTTCTTACTGAAGTAAATATTTATTCTACTTAAATGAAAATATCAAATTTCAAGTAAATGTATTATGAGGTTTTTTGACAGGCTCGTCTCAGTTAATACATAAAGAATTTAGATGAGTTTTAGGCCAATGTTTTTACGAGCTAAAATTAATTTACTGTCTCATTGTTATGATGTCAATACAAGGGTATAATGTATAACGTCGTCAAGCTTCTATAATATAGTTTAATAAATAACGGACGTTGACACCTTGTAATTATAAAATATAAATAAATGTATTAACGATTAAGTTATAAATATAAAATATAAGTTAAATAAATAACGGACGTTTCGACTCTACTTAGGACGTTTTCCAGCAAGGACACAATGTGACACAGTGTAACACTGTGAATCATTACATCCTTGTTGTTTGCCAATGTTAAACAAGGATGAAACGATTCACTGTGTTACACTGTGTCCTTGCTGGAAAACGCCCTTAGTCTTCTTCAGCGAACATGTCTTTGTGATTGGATGGACCGGGTTTCCTTTTCTTTGTGTCATCTATTTCTTTGCTTCACTATTTTTCATTCCTTAGTGAGAACAGTGTTGCAAATTATTTGGAAGGTTGCTTTGGATCCGATAGACTTTGTTGGAGATCGAGAGGTAGTCTATATCGAACGGTACTGTCTTTCGTCATGTTACAATAGAGTGGTTACAATAGTGAAGAAATAGATGACACAAAGAAAAGGAAACACGGTCCATCCAATCACAAAGACATGTTCGCTGAAGAAGACTAAGTAGAATCAAAATGTCCGTTACTTATTTAACTTATATTTTATATTTGTAACTTAATCGCGCTAATACATTTATTTATATTTTACATTTACAAGCTGTCAGCGTCCGTTATTTATTTAATTTATATTCTATTGTTATAACTTAATCGTTAATACATTTATTTAAATTTTATAATTACAAGGTGTCAACGTCCGTTATTTATTAAACTATGGTTGCGGTCAAGCTGCCGCTATAAATGCTTCGAAGCGTTTCTCCTCTCTTTCCATCTTTACTGAAGGAAAAGAGCAGAAGAATACTTCGGGACACTCTAAGCGGCAGCTTGACTGCAGCCTATATTATAGAAGCTTGACGACGTTATACATTATACCCTTGTATTTACATCATATCAATGAGACAGTAAATTAATTTTAGCTCGTAAAAACATTGGCCTAAAACTCATTTAAATTCTTTATATATTAAATGTATTATATTAAGTAAATTAATTGAAATCATTACATTCTCCACATTCAAATAAAGACTTCGTGAGATATAGAATACTATTTGTTAAATGAAATAATTGTTTTTGTTAAATAAGAAATCCAATCTTCTTCGCGGCGAAAATTACATCTTGGTAAACATTTTGTGGAATTAAAATAAAATTTTTCAAATTTAAAACTATCCATTCTTGGATATTTAATAAATACCTACTTGAATTAAAGCGATGCGTGTCTTAATTTGTTCATTATTTTTTAAATTGAAGTTAAGAAGGAGCAACCTAATGAATAATTTTCTTGAGTAGTGTCTTTTTGGATCAAGATATCTTTTTACCAGTGTGGGAATTAGTGGGCATTGGTGTACAAGATTTTGCTCAGCGGTTTCCCCCTCGAATCCACCCTAGTGGCACAGTATATTGGCTAAACACTGGTCCAATGTTGGTTGTATTAGAAGTGCACTTGCCGATATCGTGAAGTCTACATTGGCCATGGAACGAATGTAAATATTGCGCAATTATACAATACTAGATTTCTATTGACAATGCGTTGGCCAATATTTAACAACGTAATAAGAATATTGGGTACGATATTAAACCAATACGAGGAGGCGTCCATCTTTCACAATATTGGACCAATACTGGGAACACTTTTAGATTCACATTATTTCCCAATGTTGCGCCAATATACAGGGTGGAACATTAACTATTAGAACCTTAAATATCTCCGAATCTATAAGGCCCAGAGGAAGATTTGTGTAATCAAAATTCCACGGTACGAAGGGGGCTATCATACCCATACAGCACAGATGGTTGCAGTTACATTGCAGGAACGTTGCAATCTTGCAGATTGCAGTGCAATCTTACACAGACATTGCAGGGATATAAAATTGCAAACTTTCGATAGCAATATTGCAGCAATGTTTCAAAAATAATAAAAATACTATATTTTCTATTAAAAAAATTTTTCTAATTACGAGAATTTTATAATGTTGTTTTCGTTGATACCAATAATGCGCGAATTATTAAGTACTTGATCAGTGCGGTGTTGCTCGCAATCTCCATCTATTGCTAAGCGACATAATCTCCTTAGGTTGCTTCGCAATAGCTTGCTGTGTATTGAAAAAGGCCCGGATGTAATTAGTAAATTCTCTGCTTATGTACAACAACAAATTATTCCAAAAATATTGCACTGTAACATTGCTATAATGTTGCACTGTAATCTTTCTGAGGGCGGACATTTCAACGTTGCAGCAATGTTGCGCAACGTCGCTGCAATATTGCAATCTTGCAATGTGACATTTCTGCAATCTTCCTGCAATCTTTCTGTGCTGTGTGGGTAATAGCGATAATATTTTTGTCCAGGTGGAGGCGCTTCGGGGATACCAAGGTCATCTTAATTTTTTAAAACGGGTCCCATATGTTTTTCTCCCATAATATGATAGAGGAGCTCGAAACACGTTCGGAACTCACGACACAAGAGCATTGCGCAAGATTTAATGGAAAGAAAAATCGATAATACGTTTTTATTATCGAATGAAATTTACGTTTACAAAAGATGTTCGAAGTGATGGCCATCATTATCGATGCAAGACTGGATTCTTCCGACAATTGATTGGCTCGCTCTTTTAATAACGTCAGGAGTTATTGATGCACCGGCTGCGACATTCCGTTGTTGCATGTCTTTTCATCGATTTTTCTTTCCATTAAATCTTGTTCAATGATCTCGCGTCGTGAGTTCCGAACTTGTCCCAAGATCCTCTATCATATTGTGGGGAAAAAAAAGTATCGGACCCATTTTAAAAAATTAAGATGACCTCGGTATCTCCGAAGCGCCTCCACCTGGACAAAAATATTACCGCTATTATGATAGACCTCTTCGTACCGTGGAATCTTGCTTACACAAATCTTCCTCTGGGCCTTTCGGAGATATTTAAGGTCCCAATAGTTATTGCTCCAGTTATTGCCCTGTATTGCGCTACTAGAACAGATTTTTACTTGAAATATGTACAAGTTTCGAGTAACTGGAACTCGGTGCTCTTATCAAAAAATATCACGCGGAGTTTCCCTACCCCAGGCTTTTCTTCATCATTTGGAACTTAATATCCCTCGCACTATTCCCAGACTTAATTTTAGTCATCGTTGTTCTACAAAGTTCAGGTATAAATCTATATTTAAACGTCGAACAAAGGTAAGAGCTCGCAGATCAATTATGCCCCGCTGGTCAATTAATCGCGTGCCCCTAAATATATTTTATAAAACTTCACCCAGTAACCTGCGCTGGCCTCTTGTCGCCCGTTAATTCGATGTTTCTCATTTGCCGTGTATTATAAAGCGAAGGGGATCGAACAGTGCGCAATTCGCCTCCGAAAGTCAGGTTACCAGCGGCTTGTAACATTGGAATAGAAAACTGGCGTCGTTACATTCCCGGCGTAGGTTCGAAGAGGAGATTCATGGTTCGAGCCCAGCACAGCGGAGTGTCGCAGACCAAGACAACGAGCCTCTAGACGCCTCTGGACGCCTCCTCGCGTCCAAAGTCTACGTCGACGACGGGACGGGACGGAACCAGGTGGGGGAGAGAGAAATCGAGACGCGTCGCGGGGCCCGACGTAAATAAATTCCAAGGTAAACAGCCCGACGCTCGCGTCGAGGCGCGCTGTTGGGAAACCTCGCAGATTGCACGTTGCGGAGCAGATCAATACGCGAGCGGGGGATGACGGGTTGTACGTGCATACGCGAGGAGCAGCGCGATAAGTGCGCAAAAAGGAGAGAGAGAGAGAGAGAGAGAGAGAGAGAGAGAGAGAGAGAGGCAGGCGCCTCCCGGGGAGAAGCGTCTCGTCCGGACGCGGGGATACGCGATATGCGACGCAGAGCACGACCTTGGAGGGGCTTCCCCTCCGCCGCCGCGGAAAGGGACGGCGGCGCAGCTCGGCAGCGAAAGCGCCGTTGACTTTCCTTCCGCGTTCTCGGGGCCGCGTCCCGTCCGGAGGGCGCCTTTACACGCGGCCACGCGGGGATACTCACGGGCACCCGATCGGGATATTTCCGCCGGATCTTCTCGCCCTCGGCCTTCCTCTTCTCGAACGGGTGCTCCTCCTTGTACTGGAACTTCATGGTGCCCCGTGTGCGAGGGGCCCGCGCGGCGCGACAACAACGGCGATCACGACCACGACGACGACGATCCTTCACTCGCGTTTTCCAGCTCGCCCTTTCGTTCACGCGCGCGTACTGGCCTCTCTCTCTCTCTCTCTCTGTGTCTGTCTGTCTCTCCCTCCGCGGCAGTCGCTGAATCAAATTGACACGAACGAACACGAAGCGGAGCGGAGACACTCTCTCGAACAACAATCGTCGTGCGTCACTGCGGTTGCGCGCGTCGCACCGCGCCGCGCCGTCGCCGTGCTCGCCTTCCGCCCTCCGCCGCGGGAAAATAGTCCCCCGCTTTCTGTACTCAGTTTCGACAACGGGATTAAGTTGAGATGATCAGCGAGAGCGATCGCTCGGCTGTTCGACGACGCTTCAGCGCGGGGATCAGCGATCGTTGCGGAAACGAAATCCGGGATGAGATCCGAGAACACGTAATGTCACGATGACGGGACAAATTGGGACAAACGTACGATCGACACCTGCACCTCGTCGAGCTGCACCTCCTCGCGCCTCCTCTCTCACTCTTTCTCTCTCTCGCTCCGACGCGGAAAGTTCGAGAAGGTGCAGCCGCGGGGGGCAGATCGCGTGCGCGCGCACGTCGAGAGGTCGATATATCTCGACGCGGCTCGCGCGGCAACTTCGCGCCTCTCGATATTTCGAATCGGCGCGTTGCGCGGCGCACGGTCGCCATCGCGGTGGAGCAGCCGCTCGAATTTCTCGCGTGCGAATCCCGGGGAGGCGGAAGAGGAGAAATCTGCCGCGCGCGCGGAGATGCGGCGCGTGTCGCACGTCGAGTACCGAGATCGTCCTTGCTCTCGGCGTCGGCGAGGTCCAGCGCGGTCCAGCCAGGCCTCGAGAACCCGTTGGCCCGAGCTCGTCCCCGAGCCCTTTTCATTCACGCGCGAGTTCAGCGAACAACGGACGGTCGTCGCGATCGTCACCAGGTATGTGGCTTACGTTCCGGTATTGGGGTCTCCGGTGAGAAGCGACGCGTCGATCGCGGTGCCAATTTGTCGACTCGACGTCGAGTCATTTGTTCGCCGGGTCAAAGCAATTTGACGGTGTCGATCCCAGGTAGAACAGAAAAGTCATAATGATATCATTAGGATGTCATCATGACATTATTTGTCACTTAAAAGTCACTAATAAAAAAATGATGCAAAAATGATGTAAAAATGAAAAAGGAATCGTACACTATATTATAGATAAAAGCGTCCTTTGGTTTTTAAAATATTTATATCGTTTTAATATACATGTTGTTGAAGTAAA